TAGTCCAGTCTTTTCTAGTAGCATTATGTTGTTTTTGTTTTGTTTTAACACTGAGCATGTTGAAGTATTTTTCAAGGTCCAAAAAAGAGGTAATTTGTGTACATAGAAATAAAATGGTATAGTTTATAATAATGTTGCTTGTCAAAAAGGTGACCTTAAAAGTGAAGGCCATAAAGGAATAGTCTACTTAAAAACAGTATTGAAGTTTACTATGCTTATGTATTACCACAGTAAATCAGTTTAGCCAGAAACTCTCAAGTCCATTTTTTCTTAGATTTGGCCACATACTTCTAAATGGCTTTTTAAAATATTTAATGCACAATCCTATGCAAGGTTAGATAGGAAAAATAGCACAATTCTCAGCATTCTCAGTGTGGTTCCCTGTGTGGTTAGCTGGGAATACTGCGAGTTGTAGAAGTCCGATTACATGCATAAGATTGTGAACTTAATTGTGTTTCTCATGCAGTTAGCACACATTCTCAGCCCAGACTTTCCCATCTCTGATTTTCACAGTTTTCTATGGGGCATGCTTAGCTACCATCTCAGTAGGAAAGCTCCACTCCTCCACAGCCATCTCTTTGGGAGTCCAGACTCCTCCTGGTCTGCTTCCTGTACTTCAGGCAGTGGATGTTCCTTGAATTGGTTTGTCTCCAAGATCTTTAGTTCATTATCTGAAGACTGTCTGCCAGCTGTGATTTGTGGTATCCTAACAGCTTTCAAAGGAAGTTCCACATAATAGACATTATACAGATCAATTCTAGACATAGATAACTGTGGGCAGACTACCTTTGTCTAAAAGAGGCTACAACTAGTACTGTAGTATAAACTTATGTATGATGTTTCTCACTGAAAATGCCACCTGCACTTTCAGTGTTAACAGATATATTTAAGCATAGCCCTACATGCTGAACTTGATCATAAGGGGCAAAGTAACTTCAGGTGTTCTTTGGGACAGGTGTCCCTCTACTGAGCCCGTTGTTGTTTGTTACGGTAGTGACAGGACAAAAAAGGAACAACAAAATAGTGCTTTGCTACTGAAATTGGGAGCATCCACTGTGGAGCTTTACCAAGGATACATTTAGTTTTCAGACTGAATTTGTTTGTATTACGTATTTGTAGTGGCTCTGTAGCACCTTGAAATTGTTGCTTTCTTGTCCTTTTCCTGATTTTGGTAGGTGATGGGGTAGGGGAATAGGGCTGTATGCAACTCACAAGCCAGATGCTACTTATTCCTGGTTTAACAGGATTGCAACTCTATCCAAAACAGGCTGAACACCATCTGCCTAATCAGATTAAATCATCTGTCCACAGAACTTACATCTTAACAAAACTGAGTTTATATATTGAACTTTTTTCTGCCCTCATTGAGTGTATTAATGATTTCAGGCACTGATACTTCCATGGCCTCTCTTGATTCTATGAAGCCCTACATGACTTATGTTCGCAGTACGTGCAGTACCTGTTAGAGTGCCTCTCCCAGCCTTGATCAAGTCAATATGCTCAACCTCTGTGGTTTTCTTCAAATTCCAAGCCCATGAAGATTTGGAAGGTGGTAACTAGGGCAGCCTCTCATTTTTGGAACAGCCTCTGTACAGCTGCTCACCTGGCGCCAAATTTGCCATCTTTTCAGCACCAGGTCAATACAGCCCTCACTGTGCAGAGGCCTTTAAAGATCTCCTTGGTTATCCAGGGGCCTAAGTGAATTATCCTGGTGCTGCCTCTTGTTGCTGGGTCTTTTTATTGTATTTTAATACATTTTTAATACATTTTAAATGATTTTAAACTAACTTTCACTTTCTTTTAACATTATTGTTTTATGCTATTTGTATTGTATTGCTAAACCTGTATGCGGGTCCAGAAGCAACAGTGAGAACTGGAAACTCAACATTAACAATCTAAGATCATAGCATCCAGTCCTATCACTTCCTGGCAAATAGATGGGGCAGAAATGGAGGCAGTGACAGATTTTATTTTCCTGGGCTCCAAGATCACCGCAGATGGGGATTGCAGCCAAGAAATCAAAAGATGCTTGCTTCTCGGGAGGAAAGTTATGGCAAATCTAGACAGCATACTAAAAAGCAGGGACATCACCCTGCTGACAAAAGTGCATATAGTCAAGGCTATGGTTTTCCCAGTTGCAATGTATGGCTGTGAAAGTTGGACCATAAGGAAGGCTGAGCGCCAAAGAATTGAGGCCTTTGAATTGTGGTGCTGGAGAAGACTCCTACGAGTCCCTTGGACTGCAAGGTGATCAAACCAGTCAGTCCTAGAGGAGATCAACCCTGACTGCTCTTTAGAAGATGAAACTCAAATACTTTGGCCACCTAATGAGAAGGAAGGACTCCCTGGAGAAGAACCTATTGCTGGGAATAGTTGAAGGCAGAAGAAGAAGGGGACGGCAGAGAATGAGGTGGCTAGATGGAGTCACTGAAGCAATCGGTGTGAGCTTAAGTGGACTCCAGTGGATGGTGGAGGACAGGAAGGCCTGGAGGAATGTTGTCCATGGGGTTGTCATGGGTCAGACACGACTAACAACAACAACAACAGCAACACATTGTTATAAACCACTCAGAGAACTTTGGTTTATGAGGCAGTATAAAAATGAAATAAATCATTATCACCATCATCATCTGATGAAAAAGAGAGTCAGCAGTACATTAATGGAAAGCTAGTAGGAGAACCACTAAAATATCCTATCTAGCAATGCAGAGAATCTGTCTAGAAGGAAAACATGGTCAATGGTATTGAAGAGGCTGAGAGGTCCAGTAGTATTAATGGTGTCACACTTCTGTCCTTCTCCCAGAATAGATGTATATATCAAAGCAGCAAAGGCACTGTGCATACAAAGACTAGGCCTGAAGTCAGATGTTAATATGTCAGTATAGTTGCCCAAGAGCTATTTTGTAGAACATCGCATGTTGTTGTGCAACCATCCCTCAATCAGAAATCTTGTGGATATTGACAACTAGGCAATTAATTGTCAGAATTTTCAAGGTCCAAAGAGGATATTTTTAAATGTAAAAATGGCTACAGGACTGTCTTCCTCAAGGTGGCTGGGCTACTTACTTTCTCAAATAATCACTTTTGCATTCAGTTGGTCACTTCCTTCTGCTTACTGTTATCCATGAAGGACAGAGTTATACTGAAAGTTGCCAGTTATTTATAACAATTTTGGATTTTGCACTTTTCCCTAAGTATAAGATAACCATTTTCCAATCTACTTCAGAGAAATATATTTGAATTAAAGAAATAAACAAATACTTAAAGAAATAATTCTGTTTCTGTGCCACCCCATAACCTGAAGGTTCTCTGGGCAGCTTACAATGCTGCAAAGCATATGCAGTATAATGTTCCTTCACTGAAGGAGAAATTCAACAAAAGAATAATCTTTCTAGGGAAAATATGAATACCCTTCCTCTCTTGTGTGATTCAGTGATTATTTCAGTTAAAAATCAGCTATGGCATGAGAGACATGCAGAATTAATTGCAAGATTGCCAATGACCAAAGAATGGTTGGGTAGTTTTGCAGTAAAAACTTATTTCTTGGTGTTACTAGGATGATGAGACAATTCAAAATTACTTCCTTGTAGCTGCAAAAGTAGTTTAAGTTTGTTTTTATAATACATTATTATAATATAAATAATAATAATAATGGGTAAAGCAGCACATTCTGTCTTAATTGCAATACTTGTCAAACAGCACAGTAATTAAGACTGACCACTTCTAAGATGGTTTACCAAGGTTCATGTATGGAGCAAGCTTTCTAATATGTAGTAGATTCCTTATTTATTTCCACTAAATCCATTTGAAATTTGCTAAAATTGATAACAATGTGCCAAATTGCTGCAGAGAGAATAATTGGACATAATAATTTCAGATATAATATAAGATCAAGTTGGCAGTAAAAGCAGAGTTTGTAGCAGGATGTGGACGTGTATAGTCAAAGCTATTGTGGATTGGCACTGGGTTTGCAGCATATTGTTTAGCATTTTGTATCATGCCAACTTTATTTTATATTATATATGGATTTATTATGTCTATGATTAGTATTCTTAACTGCATCTTAGAACATGAACCATGATATTTTTTTCAGTTCTTTCTGTGTTCACCTTTTTCTAAAAATTTGTAAATTTTGTCAAAGTTAAACTGAAAGCTAATTTGTGTGCAGCCAGCTATTTAAATCTGTTTAAGTAAACAAAAAAAAAAAAATAAAAATGTGGAATTGAGTCAGTGTTTAAGTGCTAAATCCTTACTGCTTGAGTAAACTATGTTTCCAAAGCATATTCCAAACATTTGTCTTTGAAATGTTGATATAGTTGGAAGTTTTGTTCTTTGATTATATATAAAGAGTTATTTAAGGTCTGTAATGATATAAAAACTAAAATAAATGTGTTGGATCTCTTACACTGTACTTGCACAAGCACCTTTTTCCCTGTGACCCTCCCTACCCGTTCAAAAGTAGCTATAGAGGAGTGGGGGAATAGCGTGCGCTGTAGTGGGAAGGGAGAAATAATCCAAAATTTGGCAGAGAGAGCTTGCATATGTGGAAAGAAGAATGCAACTGCAAGAGATACTTGTGTGGGTAGAAAGCTGTTTATGTGACCCATGCATCTAAGCCATTATGTTATTTGTGTGTGCTGTCACATTTATCTGAACAAAATTATACTTTGACTACATATAGGCATTTCTTTATGTTTTTATAATAGCACTTCACTACTGGTACAAAGTGTGGTGCTTACTTCTTGAGTTCTTTATTTCAGTGCAATTTCACACAGTTTGCTCTTACTAACAAATGTCAAGTGATTTCAAATGAATAGCTGTTTGTGTCAGAAAGCCTTATTTTGAAAAGCCTACAACCTTGGAGATGTATTTAGTTTACATTATTAGTATTGCTTAGTATCCAAAGAAAATACAAGGAAAGGCATACAAGAATGTAAGGTATTTTGTTTTGTGTTTCAATTAAATCCCATGCGCTAATTTGTCTGATTTTTTCTCCACAGATAAAAGATGCCTATCCTTGATGTGACAGTTGTAAATCAGTGATTTGTTGCATGGACTGCAAAGGAAATTTAATATGGCCTAGTGGAAAAGTCTCTTGGAGATGTTTATGATGTCCACAGGTACAAGTGGCAGGAAAAACCATCAGGCTGTGAGCCTGGAAGGGGTTGACCCAGAAACTTGCATGATAGTTTTTAAAACCCACTGGGCACAGGTAATGGAACTCAGAAAAGCTGTTCTTTTATATTGATTTTTAAGGTTGGATGGGTTAGCAGGAATCTATTTAGGAAAAAAAATATTGGGACCTTCTGTTGCCAAAATATAAACTATTCCTTTATTAGATGATACTGAAATTCATTTTATGTTCATCATTTGGATAATGATAGAACCTTGCTCCTCTATTATTTAATAGCATGTTGTGTTTGCAATAAAGGGACAAAAGTCTAAGCTAGGGACAGAATTTTGGCAAAGCCTGCAACTCTTCACATGGTTAGGCTGCATAAATCCCCTGTGGAATGCTGCCTTAAAATATTAGAGAAATGCCTTTTTTAGAGTGAGATTATGGTCTGTTTAGAATCCACTATTCTCTTGACATTGAATGGCACAGCTCTACAAACCAGTGGTTAGCTGCCTCTACCTGCCACCTGACATACTTCCAATGTAAATATTAGATAACCCTAAAATCTTAACTTATACAAGCAAATAATGCATCCTACCACTGGATCCTTTCTCTACTTGTCTTGCTTCCCTAGCAGCTGAGTTACTGTCAGTTTTCTGAATTTGGTGTGTACCACTCAGTTGGCCTACAAAATAAAATTCTTCCTGTAATTAACCTAGGTATTTTTAAAAGGACTGTAATCACTTGTAGTCTTGCAAAGACATAGTGTTTGGCAGTTACCAGAAACTTGCAGGGTCGAAGAGGCAGTAAATAGATATTTTTAGTGTATTATATTTACATGTGTGCTTCAAGGATGAGGAGATATACTTGTCGAATTTTCTAATTCAGTGCCAAAAATTGACCTTGAGTACCATGCATCTTAACTGGAGTAATGGTGGTGCCATTTACTGATTTGCCTTTCACAGCAAAATCGTTGGCTTGTACTGTTGGGATACAATTATATTAAATTAATTCAATAAATGATGAGTCTGTGATTAAACTGTGTTGGAATGGATGCAGACCTTTTGGACATGCTCATAGATACTGTATGGTATGAAAATTTACTTGCATATATATATTTTTTTGCAAATAAGTAATCCATGAGCTTAGTTCACTTGTTAAGTCACAGCTTGTTTTCTAATTGATTACATTTTCTGTCCCTGTGTCCAATGCTGAAATCTGTTTAGATGCATTTTCCTGCAATGAATCTGTTTGTTCTAGAGATATCCTTATATTAAAAATTATAATAGTCTTGGCAACTTTGAAGACTTGAGTTTTCTGAAAACAGTATTAAAACTGAATTGAAATCTTATTTTAAAATTGGCATGATCAGATTTACTAGAAATTATTTCACTTTTCTGTAGGTTGTGAAAATATTAGAGAAGCATGATCCTTTGAAAAATACTCAGGCAAAATATGGGCTGATTCCTCCAGATGAAGCCAGCACAGTGCAGAATTATGTAGAGCACATGCTTTTCCTCTTAATTGAAGAACAAGCAAAGGATGCTGCAATGGGACCTATTCTGGAGTTTGTGGTCACAGAAAATATCATGGAAAAGCTTTTCCTTTGGAGTCTCAGACGGGAATTCACTGATGAGATGAAAATTGAACAACTAAAGATGTATGAGATGCTCGTCACTCAGTCCCACCAGCCTCTCTTGCATCACAAACCCATCCTGAAACCTTTGATGATGATGTTGAGTTCATGCTCAGGAACTACTACACCAGCTGTAGAAGTAGAGCTAGTGGTTCTTCTCAACCAGCTGTGTTCAATATTAGCCAAAGATCCATCCATTTTGGAACTCTTTTTCCATACCAGTGAGGACCAAGGAGCTGCAAATTTCTTAATTTTTTCTCTCTTAATTCCTTTCATTCATCGAGAAGGAACCGTTGGCCAACAGGCTCGTGATGCACTACTCTTTATCATGTCACTGTCAGCAGAAAACAATGTGGTCGCTAATCACATAGTAGAAAACACTTACTTTTGTCCGGTAAGTTTTTTCCGTATAATTATCACCCTGCTCTGTTTCCCAGCAAAATTTATTAAACCAGAATTGAGTTTACTGGACACATTGTAATGGTATTAGTGCTATGATTGGGTGGAATCTCTGAATCCTTTTGAGGAGTGCTACATGTGTGAAAATGAAGCATTCATTTAAACACTGAACTGGACCTTAAAGGACTGACTCCTTGTGAAGGGGAGAAAAAAGATGGAAGCCCTTAAAAATGCTAAACTCGTACTGAATTATGGTCTTTGTTATAGTGTAATTTGTTTTCTCAATAGAAAGCTAATTGAGATGCAAAATTAATAAATTATGGACTAAGTTCATGCTGTTTACTGGGAACAATATAGCATTGGGTTGCTATTTGGGTCTAATTATTTAAACATTGCTTAGTATTATAATGTGACAGTTGAAGAACAATTTTTTAAATAAAACATTAAGAATTTTCTATTAAGCCTGAGAAAAAAATGAGATAATCTCTCCTCTGACTCATTTTCAACTGTGTTTCAAACCTGTGGGCTGAACTTTCTTTTAAAGCAATTTTACTTTTGTTTTTACCTATTTCCAATAAAAATATAAGATTCAACTTAATCATATTGAATTTATTATGGCCAAATGCTAGTTGTTGTTCTCCTGGTCCCCCGTCCATCACAATTTGCTTAAGTTTCCATAAGATCAGTGATGATGATTTCTCTAGACAATCAGTTGTTTCAGTTTTATTCCTTGGAAGTAATCAAAATCTCTTTTTAAAGCAGTATTTATTTCTCAGACCATCTTTGGTTCACATGATGTCTCCATAGGCACTACCAGACTTCGCCTGAACTCATTCCTGACATTATTCTCTGACCTGTTGCCTATTTATTTTCTTATATGTTTATCCCACTTTTCAGGCAACTACTAGAGGCGGGGGGCTACATTGTCTGGTTTATAAACTAATAAAAGAAGATACTGATGGAAAAGCAATGGAAGGAAAAAGTTGGGAAGACCAGTGGAGAGTGAATTGGCAATGGCAGAATGAAGTTGTAAATGTAAAACCTGTATATGAACATTTTTTTTTTAGGATCAAGATGATCTCCATTTGCGGGTGTTCCTGCTTTTATAAAATAGGTGCAACTCCATGATGGCCTTTGTTCTTCCAGCTGGTGACCAAGGCCATTGTGTCTTTTACATCACTTCCATGCACTATTAAAGCTGAGTTATTTCAAACTGGTTGGGCAATGGCTGAGGCCATGTCACTCTTCTGTTTGCTATGCTGTTCTTCTTGTGCTATATATTTAAGATTAGCATTTTGGGAATGCCAAGTTTTGTAGCACTTATGCCAGTTCCTGTGTCATTAAGAACTCAAAACTACTCTATTAATCATTTAAAATTTTTACCCATCCATGGTTATACACATGGACTCAAATTTCTAAACATGCTTTCTTTCTTCTCATACATCCCAATGTTATATTGCTCCCACAAACAGTGAAATTGTTTAGGTTTAACATGCCTATATAGATAATGGAATTTATGCTATCTATGGAAACAGTCTGTCCCAAATCCCTTTTGACATGATTTTTCAGAGCCTCCAGGGATGGGATAAGGTTGAATGTGTACCACAAGAATCTTGTAAAGTTTTTCTAAGAACAGATTACAAAACTACTTTCATTCCTATTTCTGATCATTTTTATAAAGTTTCAAATTTATCGTTGTGCTCTGCAAATACTGAGTAATATGTCTCTAGCACTAGATAAATTCTTGTTGACTTCGTTTGAACAGATACATCTAAGGAGTTCTCATTAACAAAAAAACCTCCCTGAGGTAGATACCCTTATTAGATCCATGCTATAACTTCCATAATTACATTTGCCAATTAATTTTTAGAAAGGCATTTTTACTTTGAAGATTAAAGCCAGCTGTATTAACCTTCAAACAGTAAGGGCCATGATTGACAAAACACATTCCTAATTAGAATGATTGTCTTAGTAGTTTGTTGAGGTCAGACCAGCAATGAAAGTAACTAGTCTCAGTCTGTAATATAGTATCACAGTCCAGTCCTGATCAGTTTTTAAAGTCCTGTAATATGTCAGCCTTGTGAATTTGATCTTTTCCTGTATTGGGAGCTCTGTTCAGCTTTAGTGAAAATTCAGCTGGTTGCCTCAGGGAACTGGTTGGCATCTAACATTTGCTGAGGGAAAAATATAGAAAGATTAAAGGGTTTCTTACTGTCATTTCCCTGTGGATGTAATAAACTCACCCCAATTCTGATTAAAACTAATCAACTTAATTTAGTTAAATTGAAAGATATTATACTGCATATCAAAGTCCCTCCCCTGAAATTTATTTATTTATTTATTTATTAAAACATTTTTATGCCGCCCCATTCGCCGAAGCCTCGGGGCGGCTTACAACATAGATAAAACAAGTTAAAATCCATATAAAATAATCTTAATTAAAACTCACATTATAAAATAAGCCGCCCTGGCCAGATAAAATTCAATTGTATTTAGCATTTAAAATGTTGCTTAAATAAAAAGGTCTTAGCCTGGCGCCGAAAAACAAATAACGACGGCGCCAGGCGGACCTCTCTGGGGAGCGCATTCCATAACTTAGGCGCCACCGCTGAGAAAGCCCTTCTCCGAGTAGCCACCCTCCTAATTTCTCTCACGGAGGGCTCCCGGAGAAGGGCCTCTCCCGCCGATCTCAGGGGGCGACTGGGCAAATATGGATGTAAGCGCTCCTTCAGGTAACCAGGACCCAAGCCGTTTAGGGCTTTATAGGTCATTACCAACACCTTGAATTGGGCCCGGACTTCAATGGGGAGCCAGTGAAGCTGACGGAGAACTGGTGTCATGTGAACATAACGTCCAGTCCCCGTCAGCAGCCTGGCAGCTCTATTCTGAACCAATTGAAGTATCCGGACCGTCTTCAAGGGTAGCCCCACGTAGAGCGCGTTACAGAAGTCAAGACGGGAAGTCACCAGCGCATGAGTCACTGTTGCAAGGCAGTCGTACTCCAGGTAGGGGCGCAGCTGATGAATCAGCCGAAGCTGGAGGAAAGCGCTCCTCGCCGCTGTTGTCACCTGAGCTTCAAGTGAAAGCTCCGGGTCGAGGAGCACTCCCAAGCTGCGGACCTTGTCCCTAGGAGGGAGTGCAACCCCATTCAGGACAAGGTTCAGGTCACCTTCTCCGAAGCCCGAACCGCCAACCAACAGGACCTCCGTCTTGTCTGGATTGAGCTTCAGTTTATTGGCCCTCATCCAGCCCATTACCTCGGCCAGGCACCGGTTCAGTACAGCCACTGCCTCACCTGGATTGGTGGAAAACGAGAGGTAGAGCTGGGTATCATCAGCATACTGATGGGTCCGCAGCCCACACCTCCTGATGACCTCTCCCAGCGGTTTCATGTAGATATTGAACAGTAAAGGGGACAAAATGGAACCCTGCGGTACCCCATGGCAAAGCTGCCATGGCGCAGAGCCATAGTCCCCCAACACCACCTTCTGGAATCGGTCGTTGAGATAGGAGCGGAACCACCGCAAAGCGGTGCCTCCGACCCCCAATCCCGCCAGCCTATCCAGAAGGATACCATGGTCGATGGTATCGAAAGCCGCTGAGAGGTCCAGGAGAACCAACAGGGACGCACTCCCCCTGTCCTTCTCCCTGCACAGGTCATCGTACAGGGCGACCAAGGCAGATTCAGTACCGTACCCGGGTCTGAAGCCGGACTGAAATGGGTCCAGATAATCAGTTTCATCCAAGAGTGCTTGGAGTTGTCCCGCCACCACTCGCTCTAACACCTTGCCCAGAAACGGGATGTTGGCCACTGGTCTATAGTTAGCGGCCATCCCTGGATCCAGTGACGCCTTCTTCAGGACCGGTCGGACTACCGCCTCCTTTAAAGGAGCAGGCACCCGACCCTCCCTCAGAGAAGCGTTAACCACTTCCAAGATCCAGGTTCCAATCCCGTGCTTGGAATCCTTTATTAACCAAGACGGGCAAGGGTCCAGAAGGCAAGTGGTAGGACGTACTCGTCCAAGCACCTTGTCCACATCATCGGGCCGCAATAACTGAAATTCATCCAATAATTCTGGACCAGACGGTAGCGTTGGTGTCTCCCTTAAAACCTCTGAATCAATAGTGGAATCCAGCTCGTGACGAATCTGAGCGATTTTCTCCCTAAAATGCTCGGCAAAGTCGTCACAGCGGGCCTTTGAGGGTGGAATCAGCTCTTCCTTTGGCCCTGGGTGAACCAGGCCTTGCACCACTCGAAAGAGCTCCGCCGGACGGCATTGTGAGGAGGCAATGGAAGCGGAGAAGTGTCTCTTTTTCGCCGCCCTCACCGCCACAGCATAGGCCCGATAGTGGGCTCTTAAGTGTGTTCGGTCAGATTCATCACGTGATTTCCTCCACCTACGCTCTAGCCGTCTCCCAACCTGCTTCATTGCCCTCAATTCTGGAGTGTACCAAGGGGAAGAGCGGGCTCTGCCCGATGGGAGAGGACGCTTAGGAGCGATCGTGTCTACAGCCCTGGTCATCTCCCCATTCCACAGTTCAACCAGACCCTCGACAGGAGCACCCGTCTTGTCAGCCGGAAACTCCCCCAGAGCCTTCAGGAATCCTTCTGGATCCATCCGGCTCCGGGGGCGGACCCACACAATCGGGTCTGCACCCTTGCAGAGGGAGATGTCGCTCTCGAGCACAAACCTCACTAGGAAGTGATCTGACCATGACAGGGGAGTCAAGCATAAATTCCTCACCCTCAGACCACCCTCTTCCTGCCCCGTCGAGAAAACCAGGTCCAGAGTGTGTCCACGTTCATGGGTCGGGCCGGTGACATGTTGAGACAGCCCCATGGCCGTCATGGAAGCCATGAAGTCCTGAGCCGCCCCGGTCAAACTAGCCTCGGCATGGATATTGAAGTCCCCCAGGACCAGCATCCTGGGGGTCCTCAACACCAGGTCCGAGACCGTTTCCGTCAGCTCAGGCAGGGAGACTGTTGGGCAGAAG